GGTTACAAACAACCTCTATCTGTACCATCAGCTAAAAAGTAGAGGTCCTAAGCTCTTATGTGGGATGTTTGGTAATGGGTGTCACTGGGGCGTGGTTGTACTAGTGGCACTTTTCAGCCAACTTCAGGCTGGCTGTGGAAGTCAAATGGCTGCTTCCCTTTGGGCTAAAAAGTAGAGGTCCTAAGCTCTTACGTGGGATGTTTGATAATGGGTGTCACTGGGGTGCGATTGTACGAGTGGCACTTTTTGGCCAACTTCGGGCTGGCTGTGGAAGTCAAATGGCTGCTTCCCTTTGGCAAACCTGCCTGCGGGGTCGAGGCAGGACAGCAGTGCTGCCCTGGGGCTCCGCAGCCCGGGGTGAGGAAGGTGCTGGGTGATGAAGCTCTTGCTACGCTACCAGGGCTGGGGGAGGATGGAGCGATGGGGCAAGGGGATGACACGGAGGTGGGAGGTGGCGCCTTCCCTCAGGGCGTCTCTGTCAGCCCTGTGAGGAGCCGGGGGCGGGGGGCTGCGCTGAGGCACATGCAGCCCTGCCTAACCTGCACCCCCACAGCCCTCAGCCAGACTGGAGCAAGGGCTGCCTTGCTCCTCTCGTTCCCAGTCAGTCGGCTCCAGGCCCTTCTCGCAGAGAGCCTCGTCGAGGCGGGGTGGTGGTTAGGGGACAGTGGCAGCGCAGGGGACCTGAGGTGGCTGTGAGGGGGGTGAGGCCTGTTGGAGGGTGGCTCTGGCTGTTGTGGTGGCCCGGCACTCCCATGTCTGGGAGCAGTGGCAGGTCTCAGCCTGGGTCTCACTTTTTACAGGTTGTCTTTGGGCAACCTACTAAACTCGGTCACTTATAGAGTGTGGCTTCTCTCCTAGCTTGAAAGAGTTTAAACAAAATGTTGTCATCTGTTGGTTGGCAGTGGGTTTTTCTAAGAAAGCGTTTCTTGTGTCAGAACTGAAGCCTCTGTGTCAGGTTCTCCTTCTCCTTCACTAGCCTCCTGCAAGCTGGCTCTGGGCCAAATAGCAACCTCTAACTTGCTGCCAGTTTTTTGAGGGGGTGTAGGTGGGTGGTAATGGGGAGTGTCTGAGTAGTCAACTCATTTCCATGACCAAACCTAAAACCAGATGTGTTAATAACAGCTCACTGAAACTTTTCTCCTCTCCTCCTCCTTACAATTGGTAGGTATTCATCTTCATGAGGGAAAAACACGTGAGAAGATCTGATTTGGAACTGTAGTGTTCACTTCAAGATGCCCCAAAAGGAAAATACTTATCTGCAAGTCTCATCTTTCAAAACTGTCTGCATTCTTTCAATCAAAGACAAACATTTTTTGAGAAAGATGACTTGTGAAATCTGTGAACAAAGCTGAATGAAAGGATACTGAATGAAAGACAACATGCCTTACAAGGGACCTTTATCCTGAAGGGCTGACACTGTGCTCTTAAACTAAAACACAGGTACTGTAAAAACACTGATCCTGAACAAGAATAAGGATTATAGAAACTGCATCAGAATGTTTGTTAGTCCCAGAAGAGTCAGGAAATGCCATTTTTTGCAGATATTTGCCACTTGCTTCATACTATGTCTCATGATTTTTTGGGGACCATTTGATAATCACATTGTGAGCCATATGAAGTCCTATTCATACAGATACCTCATAAACAGCTACCATTTTGTGAATGACAGCCTGTCTATCAACAGGGATAACTTGGACAGAGTATCAAGCTACCAGTACTTGATCAACCACAGAGAGAAATGTGGTCAGCAGGATGTCCTTCTCCTGTTGTTTGTGAAGACTTCTCCTGAAAACCGTCATCGGAGGGATGCAATTAGACAAACTTGGGGTAATGAGAAGTATGTTCGTTCTCAACTTAATGCCAACATTAAAACTCTTTTTGCTTTAGGACGACCAACAGATCATCCTCAGCAAACACAGCTGCAAAGAGAACTTCAGCTGGAAGACCAGAAATACAGTGATTTGATTCAGCAAGATTTCTTGGATACTTTTCACAATCTTACTCTTAAATTGCTTTTGCAGTTTAGCTGGGTGAATGCCTACTGTCCTCATGCCAGGTTCATTATGTCTGCAGATGATGATATATTTATCCATATGCCAAATCTTGTTGCTTATCTCCAAAGTCTAGCACAAATGGGTGTGCAAGATCTCTGGATTGGTCGTGTCCATCGTGGATCCCCTCCCGTAAGAGACAAGAGTAGCAAATACTATGTTCCATATGAAATGTACCAGTGGCCCTCTTATCCTGACTACACGGCAGGAGCTGCATATGTAATATCAAATGATGTAGCAGCTAAAGTATATGAGGCTTCATTGACGCTCAATACAAGTCTTTACATAGATGATGTTTTCATGGGTCTCTGTGCCAATAAAATGGGAATTGTACCACAATATCATGTATTTTTTTCTGGGGAAGGAAAGGCTCCATATCATCCCTGCATTTATAACAAAATGATGACATCTCATGGACATGTAGATGATCTTCACAAGCTCTGGAAGCAGGCTACAGATCCCAAAGTTAAAAAGCTTTCTTCGGGGATTTGGGGTAGAATATACTGCAGACTAGTCAATATTGTGCTTCTCTGTAAACTGTACTATGAGGACACATATCCTTGTTCAGCTGCGTTTTCTTAATACTTGAATGTCTGTGTTGAAGATCCACTGAGCCAAAACAGAGCAACAACTTTTTAGCTGTTTATTCAAAGTACATGGAAAGAGGTAAAACTTAAATGTGACTAGTTGGGGGGCAGGGGGGGGAGATAGTCCCAAATTCTGTTCAGAAACTCTTACTGGAATAGCTCTCTTATTGTACTGCAACTTTTTACATTGTAGCCTGTTGGGTTTTGCATCCCTTGAAGAGTGTTAAAAAAAAAAGTCTGGCTTAAATGAACTATAATGGACTTCTAGGATTCAAAATGCTTCGTGAAAATGTCTGTTACCTTGAACTTGTCAGTAGGTCTTTAAGCTTTAAGAAAGCTTAATGTGAACTAAGGCACATGGTAATTAAAAAAAAAAATCTGCTATATCAAAATGGAGTAGACCTTTCAAAACATGAGGAAAATAGAACTTCTGACTTCAAAAATGAGACTATTGCAGTAGTTTAAGGCCATGTAAATTGGTTACAAATATTCACCATTTCTCAATGCTTCATAGAAAGTAAGTCTGGGCCTGCACAATTGACAAACAGTGAGTGCTAGAAGTGAAGACCTGCTACAGTCTTTTTCTCAAAGCTCCTTAAATTTTTGAAATAAAATGTCTGAGTACCCTGTGACTTGGTGGTTTTAAGTAACAAAGGAGCTCCCTTTAGATCAGAACAGAACTTGAAAGGATAAAAATAAAATATTACTCATGTAAGTGATTTTGCCAATCTTTCTCTACCTTCTGAAAACTGAAGCAGTACATTTAAACAGTCCAGTCTTTGATAAGCAAATAAACTAAATGAGTTTTTTTAACGATGCTTCTGCTTTCCAATATTGAAGGTTCTAAAGGTGAAAAGCAAGCAAAAGTCCCTGAAATGTTAATTATAGCTAATTTGAAGCTGTTAAAGACTTTGAAAAACATAATCTCATGCATGTACTAACAAAGAGGGAGGGTATTTTCTGCACAAAGTTTGACTTCACAGTGAAGGGATAGGGAGATGTTGATCTGTAGAAACTGGGTACACAAATCAAAATCACTAAAATATTTCTCCTGAAGTCTTAAGCACAAGACTGTCTTTAAAATTTCAGGGCAGTTTGTGTCCACAAACCCCTGTATCTTCAATATATTTCAATGTTAATATCACCTGCAGGAGGAACAAAACACCTGTGCACTGTAAATCAGGATAGAACTAAGTGATGCTCAAACTCCAGCTGTTCTGAGTTGTACTGTGGTGCCAGATAAATATCATAGAGAACTGAAGTTCTAGTATGTCTCCAGTTTTTCTTGTATAGCTCACTAATGGTGTCTTCACAGACTCTCAGGACAGATATTTTAGTTGCTAATTGCCAAACCTGTGGTAGCTCTTCCTGGAGTGGACACACAGCCCACACAAGGTATGGTCAACTATTGCTTGTGAACGGATGAGATGCTAGAACAAGTTCTGGTCTGGGTAGTGTCAGAAAACTACTTCTGAAACTTGACTCATTCAAGCTTTATCAGCAGAGCAATAACAATGCAAAAGCTCACAAATAATCAAGCATCTGTTGGAAATGTGCCAATTACAGGAGCAATACTACTTGCTTTGTGTCTAAGACTAGCCTTTTTCTTCTGCCTGAAGTTTCTCACTGTGGAGCAGTGAGGTACTCTCTCTGTGTCTTCTGATTTTACTGTAGAACAGCTGTACAGGACTTGGCAGTTTTAAGCTACAAGTAGTAAACTTTTGTTCAAATAATTGCTACTGCTCTTGGAACTGTGCTGCAGGTTTTAATGGTTTGAATGCCTAATAGTATATGTTAGCATAGACAGAATCCAGGAGTGAGCTTGTTGATTGTTCTCTAAGCTGCCATTTCAGATGGATGGTAGTTAGCTGCTGGAATTAAGTGAAATAGGTAACTTCCTGTAATTGGTTGTCTGGAAGGAAAAGAATTAAGAATCCTAGCTGGACCCAAATGTTGGTTATACAAAGAGGCCACAAATAAATCATTTATCAGTGTCAGAATGATTGAAGAACGTAACAGCTATACTTTAGAAAGAACAAAGTCAGTTCCCGTTCTTGCCTAAACAGATTGATTACAGTACTAAGGATGTGTGTGTGTGTGTGTGAAAGAAAAAAACAAAACACAAGACAACCCTAGATCTATATAACCTGTTGGCTTATAGAGAAATAAATGTACATACAGAGAAAGCAGTATTCTGTACTGAAGGAAAGCTGCTCCATCAGACCTGTTGTAAGCCATTTAAACCAACAAGCTGCACAGCAAAACTGCACTACTAGAAAAACCCACCTTGTTCGCTGTAGGGAAAGGGAAAGAGGGTCTTCGTATGCGGTATGCAACCGAAATGTACTATTAAGACTACATTGGGATTTATTGTTTTGACTCATACAAGCAAAGGAAACGTAAGTTTTAAGTATCTTAAACTTCTATAGGGTAATGACCTAGCTAAAATCTAAAACACTGCTTAAATATAGTATGCCATTATCTGAAAGTCACTTTTGACCATTGAAATACTTTGTTTTACACTTGGTTTGAGTTTTGTTTGGATTGTTTCTTAAAAAGGCCTTGATATTTGTAGTATGCGTTTTCTTTTGCTGCAGTGAAAAGAAGTTGCTTGTTGAATGAAAAGGAAAGCATGAAGGCGCTCCCTACAAAAAATGGAGAAGCTAGAAAACTTACTATTTTCAGGTTCTAAACACTGACTTAAGATTTGTACACCTTTATCTGGAACCTTTTTTTAACGATAGTCTCGGTGCTCCAATGCAGGGCTGTCAGCTTTTACGTCTACCGATAAAACTGTATCAGCCTGAATGGTCACTCCTCATTAAGAGTTTGACATTGTTGCACAGCATATTTAATGCTAAAATTGTTTTTACCTGTTTGTTTGGTTTGCATCAGTTTCCCTTTGATATTACTAATTTTTATACAAAGTATTCAATATTTATTCTTAAACTTTGCCTCTGTACTACAAAAAGACAATTGTTTTGTAAAACTTGTTTTGAATAAACAGACTTAATTCTTTTTTTAAAAAAATGAAAACAACACAACAAAGGTGGTAAATATTTCTTGTTGCTTTCTTTGACAGGCTCAGCTCTGATGCTTTTAAGTGCTATTCTGAGTCCCTGAGGGCTTCAAACTGAACACAATGGGATGACCTTTAATACTGTTTTTTTGTAAATACATGCAAGGTTTATTCTAATGACTTATTTTCTCATGTCATGTTACTAATACTTTCAAGAAAAAAAAGAAGTTGCCAAAGAAACCTCCCCCAACCCAAAACAGAAGATAAATCTTGCTTGCTTTTCCAGCTGATAGACTGTGTATAAACACACGGCTGTAAGGATTTCAGTGACTTGATTAAAGTTCATTATGATTAATAAATTAGATATAAAGAAGTTGTAGAGAATGTACTATAAATGAAGTTATCTGCATTCTAAGGACAGAAAAATGAAACTGGCTCAATGTTTGCAGCCTTACCTCCTCCTTGTTGACAAGTTCTCATCACTTTCACTCATCACCAGGACTCTGCTAGATCCTCCTTGACTAGCTTCATGCATCACTTCAATCTGAATAAAAAGGACACATTAAAAGTGAAAATACTAAATTGCTGATGCTTTTATTTAGAGAACTTTAACTCTTTAAAATAATAAAAACCAGATCCTGCCTAGTCTAGTAAGTCCTTGAACAAGTTAAAATTATAGAATTCTAGATGTGCAAGTAGTAAATCATCAAGAATACCCCCCCCTTCACCCCCCCCTCCATCAGTATTGGCATGGGAGGGGTTCTTGACTCCAGGCAAAGTCTTTATGTTCTGCTACCACAGAAGGTGAATTATGTCCTTATGTAGATAATTACAGGCATAACATTCTGTTCCTTAGACTCTGAGTACTGTTTGTTTGTTTGTTTCCAGCCAGAAGCTAACCCAAAGACTTCACATTTTCAGAGTTCTTTGTACAGTGCCATATGCAGAAGCCTAGGGAATCTGTCTTGTGCCCCTGAGAAGAGTCTTTGTACTAGTAGCAGTACTATGTAAGACAGCACAGACCCTCAGATATTGAGCACAGTATACATGTGCAAGGGATGTCCCCAGGCTGAAATGGACTAGAGCTTTTTATATAATCTTTTGGTAAACATTAACCTACTTCCAGTCTTGCGGAGTTGGACCATTTCAAGTGTGCTCAGGCAAGTTTTAAGCAGGCTTTTCCTCCCTTTGCTTGCAGCTTTAAAAGTACCAGCACTACTTGGGCTTACTCAAAGGCAACCTCTTTAAATTCAGTAAAACAGCTCAGCTGCTGAATTTGCAGTTAATCCGAGCCAATATCTAAACTCCAGAGTTTTTAAGTTCCTGAGCATTTTGATTTTTAAGGGCTGATTCTGGGGAAAAAAAGCAGTGGCCTGTGTTATATTCTATATAGCTAACTTATTTAGCTGGTTGGTGATGATTCAATCCATTAATAAACTACCCTTACCTGAACTATTATCAGAACAAATAAAATGCAAATAAAAAATTTATAGCAACAATGGGAGGGAAGGAGAGGGCTCTTAAATGCTGTCAGGCTTGGGAATAGGAAGGAAAGGATAAGGATGTTGAAAGGGTCCTAAACAGAATCTTGCTGCAGAAACAATAATGCAACAAATCTCATCATAGAGACACAAAAGCAAAATACATTTACCTGAACCTTACTTGTCCATGCAGCAACAGGTAACAGTGGAATTCTTTTGGTTTTTTATTTGTTGGTTGGTTTATTTCTAAATATTAAATGTCCAGTCTTTCCTCCTTTGCATAGAAACTACCCTTAGAAAATACTTAAATGAGGAAAAATGTAACTTTGTAAAACCCTGAACATAACACATCTTAACTTCAGAGGAGCTAGAAGAAGATTCCAGTTTTAGAAACAAAACAGATCATATGCTATAAGGAAGGATGGGGACTTTGGATGCACTTTAATGTATTACCTCCACATTTCCCCTTTCATGCTTTGAAAATGATTTCTACGTTAGTGTAACTTGTTTTCCCGTGTACGTGAGCATAAATCTT